CTATTTCAGGGTGGAGGCAGGCTGGTTCATTATTTAAAATGGTTAAGCAATGGTTAAGTGCTCGGCTGCTAACCGAAAGGTCAACGGTTGGAACTCATCCAGCTGCTTTGCAGGAGAAAAGACATAGTTATCTGCTTCTGTGAAGATTACAGCCTAGGAAACCCTATGGGGCAGTTCTGCTCTGTCCTGTAGGGTCACTGTGAGTTGGAATTGGCTTAATGACACCCAACAACAACAGTTTCCCTAGACCTCTTAATTATAAGTCCATAAAAACTAGTTTCATGGAATGATTACTATACAGTCCATTTATTGTATAGAGCCCATATGACTTCCTATGGTTTCCCATTAAGGGACAGACTTAGGAGGGGGCCTTGGTCAAAATATACCAAATTGGACCCTTGAGACGGGGGCATCTGTTTTCCTTAGTATAAATCCCAGATCCTTATAGGATCCCAGGAATTATCTCTTATTTGGGAGAATTCAGACCAGTGATGGAACAGTAGAAGGAATATTGGCATACTTTATTGACCTTTTGTCTTATCCGCAATTGATCATGGTAAGTTTCCAAGTATTTTACAAAATTCTGATTCTATTCTCCCAAGCAAGGATGAATTTGGTGCTTATACCTGTACTCTCAAGGTAGATTTAATTAAAATTTGTATTGCAGGGCTTACTGAGATTGAGGTACCATATGAATGAGAGTAGAACAATTTGAAAATCGGACGAAGGCTGGAGTCATAACTCTAACCCCTCAAAACTGCTTTAACTTTGAGACAGAGTCCCAGACTTCCTGGGGGCTGTCAGAAATCTAGAACTACACCTGAGGTAAACCTGAAAAGTGAATATATAACAACTTCATATACTGTACATATGGTACAAAATGTTAAATGAAGGTGTCAGTTGTAAGTACAGAACTAAAAGGAATCAATATATTAAAAAGTTTAAAAGGAATTTTAAAACAAAACAGAGGGACTGGTTGGCTTGTTTTTTAATTGCAGAACAGATAGTCTTTTCTTTTAAGAATGGTTCAAACTATGAATTTTTAAATAGGTCGTATTTATTAAGAGATAAAGCTTGCTTTAGGATGAAAGGCCTGGCAATCTACTTCTGAAATTCGCCAGTAAAAACCCTATGGATCACAGCAATTTGATTTGCAACCAGTCATGGGGATGGTACAGGACTGGGCAGCATTTCGTTGCATTGTACATGGGATCGCCATGAATCAGGGGCCAACTCGGCAGCCATCTTTTGGTGTGGAAACTGAGTTGTTGACAATTATAGCAAGCATTTGGGTGGCTAAGTGTTTTGAATTACCAAAGGCATACTTAAAAATTTTAGTATCTTTTTGGATTAGAAGTGTTGCCCATGTTAAACGAGTTAATTCTAGGGAGAACAGACTCTGAGTAGCTCACTCAATGAAAGTTTATAATTGATGAGTTCAGTTTCTCACTGTGGAATGAATGGGTTGTCACCCTGAGTGACCATCTTTCTTCACACAAATGTTCTACTTTCATATCTTGACAACATCACAGCCAAAGAGTCTGTTGGACATTGTTCCAAATTAGGCACTCCTGTGGAATGTCACAACTCAGCCATGGAGTTGGTATTCATCCTTGACACTTACGATTTTTCGGGACCTGGTTCTTGGGCCAGCTGTGAAACACATTTCCTCTTCTTCTGGTTACAGAAAAAGTTTGGAGGAACTGAGTGGGCTGAATATTGTGAATTTTTACAGACGGAATGTGATAGCATTCACTTCATGTTGACCTATGGTACTTCATTTCAGGAGGCTGCCCTCTGGTGGGCCTGCATTACAGTCTAGAGACTCTTGGCCTGTAGACATAGAAGCAAATCCATTCTTATGTGGACATCATGTACAAGGTATAAGGAGATACTGATCCTGACCCAGAGGTGTTAGTCACCTTATGGAATATTCAGTTATTTTTAGAAGCTGCAGTAACTCCATCAAGCCAACAGGGCACCAGGAAGGAAGTCATCAAATTTTGTTTTCTCAAAAAAGAAGAAATGCAGTTTCCTTCTTTGCGTAGAAAAATGGCTTTGTTGTCATATTCTGTATACTAATATTAGAGCCACACATTCCGCTGTACTTTGTACAATGAATAGGAAATCCAGCGTTCACATACTCATCTCCAGGACCCCTCTTCACTGCAAGGCTGGGACCTAAAAGAAAATGCCCCTAGAAGATGGTGGATGTTCTATTGGCCCAAGGTCTTAAGGCCTGTATCAATGCTTTTCTGTATTAAAGTTCCTTAATGTACTTACTTTAAAAAAGTGTTTATTTGGGAAATACGCTCACAGCAAAGGCCTCAAGTAAATGCAACCCAGCATTCACATTTCTTGGGAAAATTATTTAAAAAAATGAGTTTTAAAACTACACAATTTGAATATTGATGGTAAAAAATTTGCTACGTCTTTTCTACAAGTGATTTTGAGGAACGCCTACACCAAATAACATATACAAATAAAACAGGTAACTTTACCTAGTAAGTTAAAGCTTATTTTTTGTTTCTGACATTCTCATATATGATGTTTAACATTTTGGATGTTTTCCTTTAAGATATGATGAGAAGGAGTGGGAACCCAGTGTTTTATGCCTCATTCTGAAAATACATTCTTTTAAAATTTCCTATGGCCCAGCAGAACTAGGTGGTGCCCAGCTACTATCACCAACCGCTCTGACAGGGATCACAACTGAGAGTCCCAGACAGAGGCAGAAGAAAAATATAGATCAAAATTCAAATTCACAAAGACCAGACTTAGTGG